AAAACTTAGACTCCTCCAGTCAGGACTACCTGAAAAAGCAGTGGGATGGTTCTCAAATTATCTTAAAAACAGGTCTTAGTGTGTTAAATCAGATGGACTTTGTTCTGATTTTGCCATAGTCCACAAGGGGGTGCCACAGGGCTCTGTATTGGGCCCTCTTTAATTTATCATTTACATTAATAATCTCGGTCTAAATGTGACAGATGCAAACCTGCACTTTTATGCCACTGAAACAGTTATTTACAGCTGTGGAAACACTCTTACTCAAGCCATAGATTCAGTACAGAAAGCTTTTGTTGCTGTCCAACATTCATTACTTCAGCTTAAACTTGTTCTCAAACTCGAGGAGACAGGCTCAAGTGGTTCCTTCAGTGACCACTCTTGATGGTGAAGAAATATAGTTGGTTCACTCGTATAAATATCTGGGTTTCTTGATTGATGACTCACTCACCTTCAAACCTCATGTGGAGAATCTGGTGAGGAAGCTGAAGTTAAGACTGCGCTTTTATTTTCAAAATAAGTTGCGTTTCTCTTTTAATGCAAAGATGCGTCTTGTTGTTGCAACAGTTTTTCCTGTCCTGGATTATGGAGATATTTTGTGTATGAACGCTTCAGCTAAACGTCTTCAGTCACTTGACACAGTGCATCATGCTGCTCTAAGGCTTATCACTAACCGTAAATACTCGACTCATCATTGTGAGTTGTACTCTCAGATGGGATGGCCTGCTTTGACCATCAGGAGGAAGTCTCATTTTCAGATTTATGTATATACATATATATGTATATATATATATATATATATATATATATATATATATATATATATATATACATATATATATATATATATATATATATATATATATATGTATATACATATATATGTATATACATATATATATATATATGTATATATATATATATATATATGTATATACATATATACATATATATATTTATATATATATATACATATACACATATATACATATATACATATATATATATACACATATATACATATATACATATATGTATATATGTATATATGTATATATATATATATATATATATATACATATATACATATATGTATATATGTATATATATATATATATATATACATATATACATATATGTATATATGTATATATATATATATATATATATATATATATATATATATATATTGGTCTGCTACCTTCCTGCTTAACTTCCCTACTTAAAATGAAAATTGCAGGTGGTTATTCTCCTCGTCTACAAGACACTTTGCTGCTTTCTGTCCCGTTTGTACGTACTGAACTTGGAAAGAGAGCTGTTGCCCATTCAGCGCCGTCAGCTTGGAATGAGTTGCAGGAAAAATGGAAGATGACAGAGTTCATTTCATTGAATGTTTTTAAATCTAAACTAAGAAATCTTGAGACTAACTCAATAACATGCAACTGTTTTATTTAGACTGATTTTATTTTTGGGCTTGTTTAAAGTTTTAAATATTTTACTTAAGTTTGTTCTTAGAAATTTTATTTTAGATTGTTTTCATGCAAGTTTAAATTGTAAATTGTGTCTTGTATATTTGTGTGATGTTTGCTGCAGGACTCCCTTGAAAAAGAGGTTTTAAATCTCAATGGGACTTTTTTTCCTGGGTAAATAAAGGTTAAATAAAAAAATAAATAAATAAGAAAACACTGGGGTGCAGCCTCACCCTTGCCGATGAGCACGCCGATTTTGGAGTCCAGCAGACGCTCAGCTCGTCCACAGTTGCGGGTCACAAGCTTGAGGACTGGAAGAAAAGGTCGAACATCGCACAGGCGGCGGGTTTCATCCTCCAGCTCCTCATGTACAGCTGCTTGGTTGACACACTCGAACATGTGGCTCTCCATTTCACCGAGGGAGGGGAAGAGTGGGAAGTTCTGAGCCTGCTTCCATAAGAGCTGGAGAAGAGCAGAAAGGAGTTTCTCTCATAATGCTTGTGATTTCATGGTTTCTGATGGTAAACAGCATCATATGGTCATGCTGACAGAGCATATGGTTCATGATTGGGAACCCACGTGAATCACAGAGTTTCTGGTTGATACAATCAGGCCATCACCCCAGTGTGAGCAGGTACAACTCCAAACACACCCACCTGCCTACTTTCAGGTTCAGAGACCTGTGATTTTATACTGATTATATTTCTCAGCAATGTTCTGACATTTATGTTCATGCTATTACTTGCAACACACTTTTTGACCTTCTATGTAACAGAAAAGAAGATCAAGTAAGAACAGCAAGTCCAGAATTTGCAAATGTCTGGTCTTGAAACTCTCAAAAATCCGTCTGATTTCCAGGAAACATCAGTCTTCCGGATGGATGAATTAAGCCTTATAGCTGAGTGACCTCTGCAGGCTTTAATCACGTTATCAGTGATCAAAGTGTTCCAGCGTTTAGACAAACCGACGCTCCACCTAGCATCCCTCTATCTGCCCTGTTTTCACATGAATACATCTGCCAGGTCTGACTTCCTGATGTTTTCTTCCTCATCACAATAAACACAAGGAAGACGATCTCTCGTGTGTTTCTGTCATCAGACCAAGTCGGCAGAAAAACATCATTCCTGTTTGCAGGTGAACGATTAATAAAGTAACATCTGTCTGCATACCTGGCTATTTTAGATAAAGCTGGACATGATATTAAGCACACGCTAATGGGCCACTTGGTAATAAAACTCACACCACTTGCATTACCGACTTTCATAGAACAGAGAACAAGATTCAGCAGAACGTGTTTTTTATTGTCACGTATCTATGATTGAAGATTAAATATCTAATTACATTACAGCGAGCAGAAAAGGACGTCACATAACACCGCCGCCCAGACCAAAAGTGCCGACAGCAGTAACCTGTGGCTGACAAACGCTCAGGCCTCTGAGAAAACACGTCTCACCTGTCTTATTCTGACCCTGTGTGGACTGTAGCCTCTCATTATTATCATTACGGTGATGAAGATAGGCTTTACCTTTTCAGACGTGTCTCTGTGGATGTTAGGACACATAATAACAGCATAAACATCTGGCTCCTGATCCCTGTTGGATCCAACACTCACTAGTTTGATGTGTTGGATTGTGGCGTCCCGGGGAACATCCATCTGGATGTAGATCCCAGTGGGCAGCAGGAAGTCCACGGTGATCTTCTCCAGGGCATGTCCGGCCAGGGGCGAGTGGGACGCCCATATGTCCAGGAGGTCTGTCATAGCAGGAGGCATGGCAAAGAGAACCTAACTCCACCATAAGGACCTGGGAGAAGAAAGAACACAGAACAGACGCTGAGCTTCAGATGTTTTTATTCTTGTACACACGCCTGTCTGAGTCTCTCCAGGGGTCTCCTGGGCAAAACGTGCTTCATTAGAACTCTTTACAGCCATGCTAGCTGCTGTGCTTCATGCCACTGATCACAGAACAGTGTTGTGATGGGCTGCTGTGCATTTAGTCTCGCACACGGTGACTTCACAGTGACTTGCATTTTTTCACCACAACAGTTGTATTTCACGCTTTAGACATCAGGTTCACACAACAGCATCCTGCTTCAAAACAGTCAGACCGAACATTAACTGGGAGGGTTGTTGTTGTTTACGTGGAGCGGATGAGGGTTTGGGAGACACCGGCTGCATCAGACTTTAGATACTGCAGTACTAATTTAGGACTTTTTATTCAAATCGTGACTAGTGATGAGAAGTTAGGTGTGTTGCTCAGTGCTGAGGATTATATCAAAAGCTCTGATCTAGAAGGCAGATGAGCTCTATTCTGAACTTCATCTACAGCAGGGTAGCTGCAGGTTTAAGGGAACCAAATTTAAGACTTTTTAAGACCTTTTTTAGGGCCACTTTGACCAAATTTAAGCTATTTTTTAATTAAATTTAAGCTATAATTTCCAGCTGTTGCCTGGAACCGGTGCTAACCACGTCGCGAATGTGGGATTAGCATCCAGTTACCATTAAACTTGCACTTCCCCATGGCGAAAGCTCCCGCTAGCTTAACCAGCTAATGTGCTCATCTAAAAATAGCCCCCTTTCACAACCAACTGAATGTGTACGGTTCCGCTTACGCCAACATCACACACAAAAAATGCTGAACACTGACTAGAAATTCACGAAGATTTTATAGAGATAAAATAATCTTGTTTATTGGGTCTTTGGTAATTTAAGACCCTTGGAAACTGTATTTAAGGATTATTTGTAATTTTTAAGGATTTTTAAGGCCTTAAATTTGGAAAAGCAAATTTAAGACTTTTTAAGACTTTGTAAGGACCCGCGGATACCCTGTACAGGTAGGAACGTTTCTGAAGCTCTAAAACAGTCTGGCAGTATGAAAACAAGCATCAGGTCTTTGTGACGTCATCATACAATCATAAGAAGTGGATGCCACAAACAGAGTCCCTGTGAGCTCTGACCCAGTCCAGAGAGGCTGCTGGATTTCTCCTGGATGGAGGCCAGTGCTCAGAGTTCAGCCTGCCTTCCCTTCATCTGCTCCACAGAACAAAACACATACGATGAAAACACACACCGTTAATAAAGGGGCACTGCATGTGTTAAAGGGCACACAAGCTTCCATATGGGCTGCTACCATGGTAATTACCAAAAACACACGGACATGCTAGAAAGCAGCACACCTGTGTCAGACAAGGACAAGCCCAACATGTATTTTTCATAAAAAGAGGTAATATAAGCATTAAGACAGGCAGTTGAATGCATGGATGCTCACTGGTCCATGCCAACACAGGCCCCGCTACAACAGCGCTCAACTGAAACCCGAGTTGGTTCTCAGCTGCTGGTTTAAAAACAACCCACAGCTTGGTTTCCTTTGAGCTCATCCCTCAACCACAGCTGTGCAGCTGCGCTCCTTCCACCTGGGTTTTTCTCATGACCTCGCCCTAAAGAGGCCTACATCAACTCTTCCACTGGTCCACAATCCACCCTCTAATGGTCCTTTCCCTCACAGTTAAGTACTCAAGCCACCAGCACATGGGCTGCAAAATGGTGCAACATACATCAGTGGTGCATTTGAAGCCACAATCTCCGGCACTTAGCATTACCAACCATGCAAATGGAAATCATCCTGCAAGTGTGTCTGTAAGCCGAGTGCTGTCGGAGCATTCCTCTTAACGGAACTTTACATTTACTGCGTGTGAGGAGACTGGCTTCATCTTCAAAACCAAAAACAAATGGTCTGATGCTGGATTATTTATGCCTCATAGGTCTATCATAGGTGGCTTTATGACAAAATATATCAGATTAAGACATTAAAACGCCTATGGTTGTATACAACTGTCTGTTTTTTCTGTTTCGGCAGCATTTCTTCATTTCTTGGATAATGGTTTGCTTCTGTCACCACATGGAAGCAACCAGCACGGCTAGCAGTGGCAGCTGGTGACATCTTTTTTTGGTGGAGTGCATTTCAGCAGGTGTTGTGCCAAAAAGAACATGTTAGCCAGTTATTATCATGTTTCTTATCTATTTGCTTCCTTACAAAATGATGGTCTATGGGGAGATAAATAAAAGCTAATTTGAAAAAAGAAAATAAAATCTTTCTAATATTTGTAATTTGAAGTAAAATTTCAGTTTTTTTAAACCAACAGGAAAATTCAAGCAGGCAGAAAAAAACAATACAAAAATGCTCACTAAACATTAGTCTCTAACTTGTTTAAATAAAACATTTAATCATTATTTAATCATATTTCCTGTAAAAACAAAAGTTTTCAGGAGGAACACCAATTAGAAAAGTGTTAACATTATGAATGTGTTACAAATAGCTTTATCGCTCATAATTCTAATAATTACGTCAGAAATTTGCGGTTGTGACGACTGGGCTGATTTCAGATGCACTATCCACATATCACCACCAGGGAACGCCAAATCACCATTCTTATGCGTCACACCCCACAAACCAGTAAAGTTGTTCTAAAAATGTGCTTAATATTCACAGATATACGCAAGTTCAGCATAAAAAACAAACAAAGCTAATGTCATGGAGTTAAAAGCATTAACAACCGGTTCTGTGTTATGGGGTTCGGGTTGGGGAAAAAATCCTGGTTTCTGCATGCAGCAGTGTTCATGGATGGCTAGTGACGGTGAGGCAGAATCATGCATTAGAATGATGTTTAGAATGAGCCTCTCCTGACTGTGTGATGTAGCGGGGGGGGGGGGGGGGGGGGTCGGGGGGGGTGGGGGGGATCCTCTTACAAGATAAGTTGTTTATTTGTTTACTTTTACAAATCATCAAAAGAGACTCATCACTGCCAGACGAGAGACATACCGTAAATCCTCTAATACAGGCCCGGGCCTGTATTAGAGGATTTACGGTAGTTCCTCCAGTGTGTCCTGGGTCTTCCTTTAGGTCTCCTCCTGGTTGGACATGCCTGGAAAACGTCACCAGGGAGGCATCCTGACCAGATGCCCGAGCCACCTCAACTGGCTCCTCTCAATGTGGAAGAGCAGCGGGTCTACTCTGAGCCCCTCCCGGATGACTGAGTACCTTCTCCTATCTCTAAAGGACAGCCCAGCCACCCTGCAGAGAAAACTCATTTTAGCCGCTTGTATCCGTGATCTCGTGCCTTCGGTCTCTACCCAAAGCTCGTGACCATAGGTGAGGGTAGGAACGTAGATCGACCGGTAAATGGAGAGCTTTGCCTTCTTGCTCAGCTCTCTCTTCACCATAACAGATGGGTACAACACCCGCATCGCTGCAGACACAGCACCAATCCTTTCCTTCACTTGTGAACAAGGCTCCAAGATACTTAAACTCCTCGACTTGGGGCAGGACCTCATCCCTGAGCTGGAGAAGGCATTCTACCCATTTCCAACTCAAGTGGACGAAAATGGATGGATGGATAAATTATCATTCCACCTTATTATTGGAGGGCACTTTTTGGTTAAATAGAAATGTGGTTAAATCACAAAACAAAGACTTTAGAATATTAAAGAAAAGGATTTGGAAATGTTTCTAAAGATTTGAAAGATTTACCACAAATGATATCAGCATTGGACTATCCAACCGTCCCAATCTACAGAGTAAATGTTTCCCAAGCTCACACACACACACACACACACACACACACACACACACACACACACACACACACACACACACACACACACACACACACACACACACACACACACACACACACACACAGAGCTGATGTCGCAGCTCTGGTATTCACGCCACCTTTTATCTCCAGTGTAAACGAAGACCACAGGCTGCCACTGAACATGATGCTTGGTCCGACTGAAACACCAACAGAGTGGTGGTATCAGAGTTAGCAGGAACACACACACACACACACGCGCGCGCGCGTGTGTGTGTGTGTGTGTGTGTGTGTGAGCTCCCTCTGTAATTATGAGCTGCAGCAGTGATGCTTCCACAGCAGCTGGACTGAGAATGGTCCCAAGCTAATGTGATTGGAATGCAGTCAACCTCCGACCCACATACCGTACCTGCTCAGGTGGAGCTGGGTTACTGAGGACATGCTGGCAGACCGCCAGAGGCCTGCTGTCAAGGTTAAAGTTTCAGAGGGAGGATTAGAGGAGAACAAGTACCAGCGCAGGGAGAATGGATACAGCAAGCTCTCAGGCACATTCAGAAACACTATCCTGCTTATGAACCAGTCCTGTTTCCTCCACAAATGGGAGGATTTTCTGATTAGGAAAAACAACTCGACTCGGGTGCAGCTGGTATTTCTAGTGTAAGATTTCTTCAAGTGGAATGACTCAGCACTGTCCTGAATGGGTTTCCTTTAACAGATGTGCCAGGAATCAAAAGAGACATTGAGTTCTTTCCTCTGATCGGATATCTGCAGATTCACTGGTAGACGAGAGCGACACTAAATCTAGAGCTTTAATTAAAAAGTCAGTCTTTGGCTAAAGTAAGCACAAACCCTGAAGCACACAGGGCACAATTCACTAACAGCACATATAATAAGGACAGAGTGGATGCTTGCTTCCTCTGAACCAGCGACATGCTGTGATGGCTTTCATGCCCAGATGAATTTAACAGTAAACACTTGTGTTACTCAGCACTCCGTCCCTGAAGCTCTCTGTCACACAGGCAGAGGCCTGTGACGCCCACTACAATGGCCGGAGTGTCCACGCGTCTGCGTCTCACAGACGGGAGAAACTACCGGCTTTAACAAATGGTGTGTGTTTAAAAGGTCACGCCTGGTGATGAAGGGTCCTGTGACACATTTTCTTTGACAAGCTAAAAATAAAGTTCACAAGGAGGAACTAAGGCCTCGCTCGCTCCCGCTCTGCTACACCCACCATGGTCCGGTACATGACTACGATGGAGATGTACGGCGTGGCTGCTTGAGTCAGCATTTCCACTGCTGGGAAGGAGAAGTGTTCCTAGGAGCTAATTTAGACAGAAGGATGTATGTAAATAATAAAGATGACTTAGACGTCTTTATTTAGTTTTTCTTTGTGTGCGGAGACCCGTGGTGCTCATTTACTGGGTCACAACAATTTTAAATGAAAACAAGACAAAATTCATCTTTTTGATGTTACTTATTAAAGTCCTTAAAAGATACAACTGCATAATGAAATGGTCTTTATACCTGAAACATTGGTTATTATAAAGCGTGTGTGTGTGTGTGTGTGCATGCATGTGTGTGTTTGCGGTGCCAGAGGGGGCTTGAGTCACCTGTCTCAGGGTGATATTTAGATGTAGATGATAAACAGTCTCTTGTAACACTGAGTTTGATGATGAGGCATCTGTGATTATGTTGTTTCTACCATCTATAACAGCTTTTGTTCAGAGACCATTTACTGATGCGGCATTCCTGTTCCTCACAAACATTTCTTTCATCTGCTCTCCCAAAGCCAACCTGGACTCATGCCTGTGTTAGCACGTGGAAACCAAACCTGTGTAAAAATACCTTCTGGTCAGACAGCATGACCGGACGTGTGAAAAGTGTAATAAATAGACGTGTATTTATTTCTGTTTTCATGAGACCCAAGTTGATGAGTAACCCACATCGGGGCAATAATCCACACCACCTTTAGTCACACACAGGGACACGCCCACTTCTCAGACAGGAAGGAATGACACCAATGAGGAAGTGAGTGACAAACAGTCACTAGGAGAAAAACTCCCAACCAGTCATTCATAAAACACTCATGGACACAGAGTCAGAGCCGTGGCCAGTGTTGTCTTTTCTATAAAAAATAAATAAATAAAAAATAAGGATCGGGTCGGGGAGAGGTCCTACCTCAAGTGGAGGAGTTGAAGTATCTCGGGGTCTTGTTCACGAGTGAGGGTAGGAGGGATCGGGAGATCGACAGGCGGATTGGTTCGGCGTCTGCAGTGATGCGGACGCTGAGCCGATCTGTCGTGGGGAAGAGGGAGCTGAGCCAGAAAGCCAGGCTCTCGATTTACCGGTCGATCTACGTCCCAATCCTCACCTATGGTCATGAGCTTTGGGTAATGACCGAAAGAACGAGATCGCGGATACAAGCGGCCGAAATGAGTTTCCTCCGTAGGGTGGCCGGGCTCAGCCTTAGAGATAGGGTGAGGAGCTCGGACATTCGGGAGGGACTCGGAGTAGAACCGCTGCTCCTCCGAATCGAAAGGAGTCAGTCGAGGTGGTTTGGGCATCTGGTCAGGATGCCTCCTGGACGCCTCCCTGGGGAGGTGTTTCGGGCATGTCCTGCCGGCAGGAGGCCCCCGGGTCGACCCAGGACACGTTGGAGAGGTTACATCTCCAATCTGGTCCGGGAACGCCTTGGGGTCCTGCCGGAGGAGCTGGTGGAGGTGGCCGGGGAGAGGACGGCCTGGAGCTCCCTAGTTGGGATGCTGCCCCCGCGACCCGGACCCGGATAAGCGGAGGAAGACGACGACAAATAAAAAATAAAAAAAAGATTTTCAACAGGTGGCTCGGGCACCTGGTCAGGATGCCTCCTGGACGCCTCCCTGGTGAGGTTTTCCGGGCACGTCCAACCGGGAGGAGACCTAAAGGTAGACCCAGGACATGCTGGAGGGACTATGTCTCTCACCTGGCCAGGAAACGCCTTGGGATTCCCCCGGAGGAGCTGGCCCAAGTGGCTGGGGAGAGGGAAGTCTGGGCCTCTCGCCTTGGGTCACGACCCGACTCTGGATAAGCAGATGAAAATGGATGGATGGATTTTCAACAGTTTGCTTTGTTGTCTTCTAAATCGACGTAATCCAGTCATGCCAGAGTGATGCAATTATCTTTACCAACCTTTGTTAGAGCAGAATAAGTAGGATATCCTTTACATGAATGTGTTTTTGGTTTCAGGCCATACTAATCCTTTTGGCAAAGTTCAAAGGGTGTTCCTAGTGGACATCAAAGAGCCGAAGCCTGTTAGAAGGTTAGCTCACCTGTGGCTGGTGGAGTACCTGAAAACAGGTGAGCTACCTCAGTGAGTGGTTTGGAGGACCAACAACAAAATACTGGTGAAGGTTCCCAGTCATCCAGGTCATGGTCATCCAAAGGTGTTCAAATGAAGGCAACTGGACTTCTTTGGTTTTATGAAGATGTTTCACTTCTGATTAGAGGAAAGAAAAAGCTTTGAGAAAGCTCCTCAGATGAGAAGCAAAACATCTTCAAGAAACCCCTTTAGATGACCAACAACAAAGAACAGTTTCTGTAAAACAGACATGAAACCCAAAGACGGAGATTAGCTTTACCATTTGAGAAAAAGAAACCCATTAAATTACGACCAGGCAAAGCAAGGAGGAAGAAACAGCAGCTGGATGTGAGAGGCCCAAAACCTTTAAATGACCAAGAAATTCTAGACCAATCAAAGCAGCACTTTAAATGGCAGGAAGAGCAAACAAAGGATGGAAATGAATGATGCTTTACAGCCAAGTGTATAAAGCCAGTTGTTGCCGCTCTTTGTTGTCACTATGAAGGTGAGAGGCGGGTGGTAATGATTTTGCCTGAATCTGTGTAGGTAAGATGTCACTTAGCAGATTTTATCACAATTTCCAGAAAGTCATCACTGGATGTGCATCTTTGACCCACTGGCCTTTGAGGTCAACGTAACTGATGGTCACCACAGCCAAACAAACATAGCAAACATAAACGCATCTCTAACTCACTCAGACAGAGCTAAAGTTTGCTGTTGTGCTAGCTGAGAGTGATTGCTAGCACACCATCTGAGCTCTGTAACAATGAATGAGAGCTTTGCCTTAAACTTCATCATTAATGGAGTCAACTCTGCTTGTTCACACACTATTTCAGAACTACTGGACAAATCTTGTACTTTAGAAAACAACCATTGGATGTTCTGGAACCCCAAGTTTCCTTTTTATTTGTTGTTTTTAGTGGTTGAAGGTTATAATAGCTTATTTCCTTTGTGTGTTTACCTGTTCTCTTATACATTTTCTCTATATGTGCTGATGTTAGAATGGAATATAATAGATTTTATTACTAACTCCATTGTAGAGTTAAATTCAACAGCTAAGAAACTGGAAAACAGTCAGCTGGTAGAACCTCGGGTCAGAACCAAACAGGGCTTAGCTACTATGCTGCTCACAGATGGAATCAGCTTCCTCGTGACCTCAAAAGCACCCCAACTCTTGAAACTTCTAAACCTACATTGAAAAGCTTCGTGTTTTCGTCAGCCCTTGAATGAATGTTCTGCACGGTAACTGCTCACCTAGGCCTGCCTGGCTGGGATGATAAAATCTGCTGGACGATATATTGTCCAACAAATTACTGACAATACACAATATTGTTGACATTATCGAGACCAAAATAACAACTTATATACTGTTAATATAATAATGCAAGAACAAGTACACCCTTTAAAATACAACAAGTAAATCTTTAGTTAACTTACTTCAGTGACATATTTTCAGCAGCGATGAAACCTCAGAGCTCCGTTTGTTCCCTTAAGCTCGATCACACTGAGCAATTCTGGCCGTCATACAGGATTGTTCCTGTCACTCTGTGAGAACTCCAGAGAGGTGTCACACTGTAGGACACAAGATTTCTGCGAAGCAGACGGCACAACGTCTTTCTCCAGCAGGACACGCTGCGTCATGAGCGCACCTCCCGAAAGCATACGTCTCCAAGCAGACCGCTAACAAAGCTGGAAAGTTAAAAACACATCATTTTTATGTCAGCTCATGACCCGACTTTAAACCCTCGCTTTGGCGTCAGATTCTGGCTGCGGGTCTCCGTAGCTGATCTGTCTGCTGGTCATCCATCCTTTTCACCCTCCTTTATACTTAAAACCCCGCTAAACTACAGAGAAGTGAAAATCTGTCACAGATCACTGCGCTATAACTTTTGCCATCAAGTCTGTCTCACTTTTTACTCTGCCGCTCCATGTGACAGCTCCCACCCGCTGTCACAGAGCTTCCTCTGTCCCGCTGCAGCTAAACGCTACTGAACCATCCTTATCAGCAGAATACCGTAAATCCTCTAATACAGGCCCGGGCCTGTATTTAACTCAAGCTCATCAAGCTCCAGGCCTTTATTGGAAGGAGGACCGGTATTAGAGGCAGGCCTCTATTTCTATTTGAGCAAAATGAACTAATGGTTCGTTTGAGTTTTGGACAATTAAAATTGCGCCCACATTTTCAAAGTTAAACACATTTCTTTTAACAACGGTAGTTTCTGCTTCAGCCCCCCACCCCCCTCCCCCCGCGCAGCGGCCGCAAACTCACTGATGCACCTGCAGCCTCTCGGAGTTCCTGCTGCTCTAAACATTAAAACAATTATTTCATTTTCTGTTCCTCACTTCTGATTACCTTCAGTGGTGTCTGTTTGTTGCAACCAGCAGGTACAAAAACTAACTTGTTTTTATTTGACTATTTTTCTGTCCTGTCTGTTTATTATCTTCCTGCATCTCCTCTCAATCCTAAAGAAAAACTGCTACCTGGGTTCATATATATTCACCTCATGAGTTACCTTTGAACTGCAGTTCTAAAAGATCTACCGACCACAAAAACAGCGGAGTGCGCGCTGCTTGGCGGCCACGGGAGGCAACGCGCTGTGCCAGAGCGTCGGTACTGACACCCGCCGTAAAACGGACATTTAACCAAATTGTGACCTTTTCCCTTTTGCAATTTAACCTTCCCCTCACCTCCATCCTAACCTTAACCAGCTTGCACATGCAAAGCTCTGATTGTTGACGCGCTCCAGACATCTGCGTCCTGAGCACGGCCACAGTAACATTATCAAATCAGGTGTCGCCACCTCAAAAACTAATTTAACACGCGATCGTTCATGTCGGCTCATTTCCTTTAATGTTTTCTGTCTTTTATTCTTTTATTTGTGCCTGATGCGTTTCGCTGCTGTGGATCGGGGCGCATCACCTGTCACCTGCTGACAGCAGGCTGCTGTCTTTTCCGAGGACTGCATCTTGTCGGTCATTATCACGTGACAGCGACTAGTCGATGACAGGCATAAAAAGTCACTATAGTGAAGTCGACTAGTTCAAACAACCCCTGCTACTGCTCCCCAGAGTGTTCTGCAGCATAATCAGCACGTTCTTTGAACTTGATATCAAATTATCGCCTCCTCTTCGTCTCCGCACAGTTAAAGTTACCCTCGCGGTCTATCACTGGCAAATCAAAAGTGAGATGGATGACACAACCGCCCCCCGTACTTGCTTGTTACCACAGTCCACCCGGCCACAATAAAAAACCGGCCATTATTCACCTCCGCCGACTCCGACACCGGCCAAAATATGATACCTGGCAGTTAATTAAATACACGCTAATATTAGAGGATTTACGGTATGTGAAATTTCCACCAACAGCAAAGGGATCTCATGTTTCTGTGTTTTATTTTCATGTTCGTGAGCTCATCTCCTCTCAGCTCTCACAGAATCATGGTTTTCACAATTTATCTGAAGGTCTAAAAAGGTAGTTTAATAACTTTAGTATAACTCCGGTTTTAACTGGGCAATTAACAGAAATAAAAACTGGTGTGTAGTTTATACTGTAAACCGGATTTTAAACATAAATTAAAACCGAAGCTCAGAGAGGCGGAGTCTTGCAGCTGCGGCACCCCAAAGGTGTGTTTTCATTGGTCGATTGCAGACAGGCATTGTAGGTTTTCAAACGGTGCTTGTAGACTTTGGGTCGTGGGACGGCTCAAAAAGCTGTCGCGGAGCCGGTCCGACTGGACAACCACAAATTTGCAAATCACCTTCATGTTCATCGTTTTTTACGTGATTATACTCCCAACGAGGGATCTGGCTAAGACGGGGGTGATCCGGGCCTTTGAGGTCGTAGGGATCTACAATGTCGACCGTGAACAATTTCTGAAAATACTGATCTCCAGCCTCTTTCAGAAGTCTATTCCTGTAAGGAATGTGTTCATCCTTGTTCTTTTTATCCGTCCCCTAGCAACGCTAGTCATTCACCTAAGATGATGCTAAGGGGGTGTGGTTGACATGCAGGTCTCCTATCTGACCGATATTGAGTTCATCCATCATCTATCTATTGATTTAGTGATTATCGTTCCAGTCCTATGCTCACCCTTTAACTTTGTCTGTTTCTTTTAATTTTTAAATTAAAATGTTATTTGTGTCGTGTTGATTTTTAATATTCTTGCTAACTGGAAACCACACTGAGTTGCTTCTGTGTATGAAATGTGCTAGATAAATAAGGCTCGCCAAAACTGCCTTTCACAGATATCGAAATAAAACTTGATGTGGTATTAGCTCATTAATTTATTCTGAATGCAGACTGATTAATCAAGACTGCAATAACATGACTTTAATGATTAAACAAAAGCAGCCTGAAGTGGACTCGGTAGTCTGTGTCAGGTTCCAAACAAACTCCAGGGTGATCCAACCTTTATTCAGCACAACAAACACACGTACCTCAAATTTGAGCCAAACGCCCTCCTGTGGCCAAATTTGTGTTGCATTCTGGGATATGGAGGAGCACACAAATATCAGTCACAAGGCATTCAATCATACTAGAGCCAACTGGTGAAAACTCCATGAGGGTACGCTGGTGAGTAAGCAGGGCGTTCACTCAAACTACACAGCAGCACCTAGAACTGATGTGTCATGGCTTTACTTTTCAAAAACCCAACAAGACCGAGACATCACATCTCTATTTTCTAGAGTTTGAACTCAAACACTTTGGGATGTTACAGGTTGAAGCGCTTTTCTACCTCGAAACCCCTCAGATCTTACAAGAATTAGCCATTCAAGGAAAGGCTTCACAGTGAAAAACAACAATGGGAAATCCCCTTCAGGATAAAAGACGAGTTTGTCATCAGGGATGGTCGGAGACCAGTAGAGGAATTCCAAGATCCAGAGTGAAAGAGAGGTGTTAGAAAAGATAAATATAAACATTTAGTGATTAAAAGGGAAATGATGAAGAAACAAGTCCAAAATCTGACCCAATGTGTGACTGCAGTGGGTGGGCCCAAGTGGGCCGTGTGTTTACAATAAGCCTCTGTTTTTGGTCAGTGAGTGTGTATGTTTGAGTGTGTGTGTGCCACCGAGGCCAGTCCCATGCCCTGCACAAACACTGTCCTTGTGTTGCCCTCACCCTGCCAGCTTGGCCTCACAGACCCGCTGAGGGTCACATGAGGCTGCTCATGTTTTGCCTTTGGGGCCCTGTAGCTTCAGGCACCATTAGCTTTCATGTCTCCACACAGTTGACAGGGTCAGCCCTTCAGCAGAACGGACGTAAATAAGCTGATAAATCAACACCAGAAATACACTCAGAGTTCATACTGCCATATGTACACGAAGCTTCAGGCAGCCATAGCTGATGTTTATGTTCATGTATTTAGCAGACGCTTTTGTCCAAAGCGACTTACAAGTGACAATCGGCATGTTGCCCTTGAGGCTAACAACAACAATAACAACAACAACATTGACATCAGTCATGGAGAGTAGGAAACAAGGAGTGGACAGTAGAGAGGGGGGACGGGTGCAGGGAGGGTGCTAGTTAAGAAGATGCTCTCTGAAGTGCAGGGTGTTCAAGAGTTTCTTGAAAATTGAAAAGGAAGCCGCAGTTCTGGTAGTGCTTGGAAGGTCATTCCACATTTGTGGAACGATGCATGAGAAGAGTCTGGATTGTCCTGAGCGTGGTGTAGGCACCGCTAGCCGACGATCCTGTGATGACCGGAGCGGCCGGGCCGAGACGTAAGCCTTTGCAAGAGGATTCAGGTAGATGGGAGCCGTACCGTCTCGGACTTTGTATGCTAGTGTTAGCAATTTGAATTTGATGCGTGCTGCTAGCGGTAGCCAGTGGAGCTCAATGGACAGAGGGGTGACGTGTGCTCTTTTTGGCTGATTGAAGACCAGACGCACCCCTGTGTTCTGGACCATTTGAAGAGGTCTCACAGTACAGGCTGGAAGACCAGTTAGAAGGGCATTGCCGTAATCGAGGCGGGAGATGACAGTAGATTGCACCAGGAGTTGGGTGGCATGTTGTGTTAGGTATGCTCTGATCTTTCGTATGTTATACAGCGCAAAGCAGCATGAACGAGCAACAGAGGCAACATGATCTTTAAAGGTCAGGTGTTCATCAATCACAACACCCAGATTTCGAACTGCCTTTGAAGGAGCCAGAGATAGGAAGTCATTTTGGATTGAGATATTGTGCTGTATGGATGGTTTTGCTGGGATGACAAGTAGTTCAGTTTTAGAGAGATTGAGTTGGAGATGGTGGGATCTCATCCATTTTGATATGTCAGAGAGACAGTTTGATATTCGTGCAGAGACAGTGTGGTCGTCCGGTGGAAATGACAGATAGAACTGGGTGTCGTCTGCATAGCAGTGGTAGGAGACGCCATGTGATCGAATGATCTCACCCAGTGAGGTGGTGTATATGGCAAAGAGAAGAGGTCCTAGTACAGAGCCCTGGGGGACTCCTGTGGCAAGATGGTGCACGGTAGATGATTGTCCAAGCCAAGATACACTGAATGATCGTCCTGGGAGGTACGATTCAAACCAGGCGTGTGCTTTCTCTGTGATGCCCATGCTAGAGAGTGTGGACGAAAGGAAGCCATGGTTGACAGTGTCAAATGCTGCCGATAAGTCGAGCAGGATAAGCACTGAGGACTTGCCTGTCGCTCTAGCTTCTTTTAAGGATTCTGTCACTGCTAACAGAGCAGTTCCAGTGGAGTGGCCCTTTTTGAACCCAGATTGGTATGGGTCAAGCAGACAGTTTTGTGAGAGGTATTCTGTGATCTGCTTGAAAGCCACACTTTCTATGGTTTTGGACAGAAAAGGGAGGAGAGAGATAGGTCGGTAGTTCTCCACATGATTTGGAGGAAGAGATGAGTTTTTTAAGCAGCGGTTTAACCTGAGCATGCTTGAGAGAGGTGGGAAATGTACCGGATGTCAGTGAAGCGTTGATCACATGTGTGACTGCTGCGGCTTCTGTAGGAGCAATAGCTTGGAGCAGCTTAGTCGGAATGGGGTCCAGTGGGCATGTAGTAGGGCGGCTGCACGTGAGAAGCTTGGACACACAGTTCTCAGTGACAGGGGAAAAGAGGAAAATGAAGCAGTAGAGCTTGAGATGGTTGGGCTAGAAGGAGTTTGTGGTAGTGAATGTTCAGGTGTGGCCAGTTGAG